GGGGGGCTGCAGTGATGGTTGACTTTCTACAACTTTCTCCCATCTCCCGACTGCATCTCTGGAGCTCAGCCACAGTCATCTTTGGGTTCTTCTGTACCTCTCTCACCAAGGCTTTTCTCTCCCGATAGCTCAGTTTGGCCGGACGGCCAGCTCTAGGAAGGGTTCTGGTCGTCCCAAACGTCTTCCATTTAAGGATTATGGAGGCCACTGTGCTCTTAGGAACCTTAAGTGCAGCAGAAAATTTTTTGTAACCTTTGACCTCATGATTTTCATTTGCTCTGACATGCACTGTGAGCTGTAGGGTCTTAGACAGGTGTGTGGCTTTCCTAATCATGTCCAATCAGTATAATCAAACACAGCTGGACTCAAATGAAGGTGTAGAACCATCTCAGGGATGATCAGAAGAAATGGACAGCACCTAAGTTAAATATATGAGTGTCACAGCGAAGGGTCTGAATACTTATGACCATGTGATATTTCAGTTTTTCTTTTTTAATAAATCTGCAAAAATGTCAAAAATTCTGTGTTTTTCTGTCAATATGGGGTGCTGTGTGTACATTAATGAGGAAAAAAATGAACTTAAATGATTTTAGCATATGGCTGCAATATAACAAAGAGTGGAAAGTTTATGGGGGTCTGAATACTTTCCGTACCCACTGTAAGTGGATATGTCAGGACTGCCCGCTACTCAGGGTGTAATGGGGTAAATGCTTCTGTGAGTATGAGTATTCAGCTGCATAAGAAACCCAAAGATTAACAGGTCTTGTAATTAAAGGATTTCTGATAAGCAACAACTAAATCAAAGATAAATGCTTAATGATAGACGGGCATAGCTTTTTAATTATCTTACACCCCAAAACAAAAATATTATGGGCTCAGCTGGATAATGTTTTTTAGATACAGGCAAAAAGGTTTTGGCCGGAGTCTGACATTTTAAAGTGAATTTAATGCTGTTGGCTTCATGCACAGAGTTGCACATGTTTTATGATTCACCAAACTGTGTAAAGTTAATGTTGAGGAGTCACTGCCTATTATTCACAATTATCATTTTATAGCCGTTTATTCTACAGCCGTCCTTTCTCACATGTCCACCCTACTTTATTGCATAACTAATTGCAGGGCAGGCTGCCTCATTTCAAAACCAACATGGAGCCAGAACATAGTGTCATTATTCCCAAGCTGTCAGTACTGATCTTTTCTTTCTCAATGCTTCTGTTAAGTTAAAGCATGACCCCCGCCATTCTCCAGTCAGTTTTATGCAAATCATCATTTGCCTCTATGTTTGAACATGTAACCTACTGCTGTTGTAATAACCGTGTGTTATTGTCTTATACGCAAATCAGGTCATATCTTTTCAGCTGAGCCTGCGTCAGCCTGCAATAGTTTCGCAGCAACGAGTGAAGGTATGAATCAAGGCAAGGATGTCACACAAGTTTCGCCATCCCTGCAAAGATCTCACACCCCCAGAGGAACCAGCATCTGGATGGGAGTCCCAGAGACCAGCCCTGAAACTGACCCCCCACTGGAGAAAAGGGCCAAGAGAGAAGCAGGGGAAGAAGAGTTGGAGGAGGGAGAGATCATGGACAGTAGTGAAGAAGAGGAAACGCAGGAAGAAAAATCTGAAGAAAATACCCCATGTAACAAAAGCTCTGGTGAGACCAGAGATCTGTCTGACATGGAGGTGATTAAAGATGAACTAGGAGACAGCGTGGACATTAATGTTGATGATGGTATTTAATACACACAGTGACAGCAGCAGAGATCAGTGTATAAAGGAGGAGATTACTGCTTCCACTGATGTCAGTTGAGCTGCCACAGAGAGGACTGAGGTCAGTGTGACTCAGGAGGATGCTGTGGAAGAGTCTGGGCCTGCTCATACTCGTCACTGTCAAGATGGGGTTCAGTCAGCTGATACTGCTGACAGCTGTGGATTGGAGTAATACCCAGATGTTCATCTGTCATTTGTCTTGTGCTGGTGAACCAATGAACAGCAGCAGTGTTTTCAGTCTTTTTAGGAAAAATAGTGGTGGTTTCCTAAATATATTAATGTATATGCACAGAATAATTTTGATAATGTTCATAATTTAGGTTTAGATCATTTGTCTGGAAGCATGGTGTCTTGAATAAAAACATTGCTTATAAATTGTGTGTTACACTGCCGCATGTCTTTGGTGGATGCTGACAGTGTCATATGAGGCGCAACATATTTTTGAGTAATCACATCTACATTTATCAACTTCCAGAGCTCATTCTTTGTCTTGGGAAATGTGGATTGAATATGTTCATCACACAAATGAAAATCCCATCTTAAGGCTCGTTTAGCTCTCCTGGAACTTTGTAATCTTCAGTGGCCTCTATTTCTTAGTACAGTTAATATACAATGGCAAGAAAAAGTAAGTGAACCATGTGGTTTTCTCCATGAACTGGTTATAAAATGTGATCTGGTCTGCATCTAAGACACAAGTATAAACAATATGCTAATACAAACAGTTATAATTTTTCATGTCTTTATTGAACCCAGCCATTAAACAAAGTGCTGGTGGAAAAAGTAACAACTGGTTGAAGCTCTTTTGGCACCATTGACATCAAACAAGAGCTTCCTGTACCTGTGGGTTAGGCCTTCATAATATTCAGGAGGAATTTTGGACCATTCTTCCTTATAGAACTGCTTCAGCACAGCCATATTCCTGTAGGACGTCTGGTGTGAGCGACTCTGAGGTGGTTCAACGGCATATCTAACTGGGCCACTCCAAAAGGTGCGTGTTCTTGTTTTGAAGCCATTTCACAATAGGTTTGCTAAAGTGCTTAAAGCCACTGTGCTACTGCATCACCCAACTTCTAATGAGCTTCAGGAGTTTGACAGTGGTACAGTGGCTCTCAATGTGCATGTGTAATGTTCCTCCGAGTTAACAAGTAAACAAGATAGGACTGAGAGAACAAGAAAAGAAAATAATGTGCGTTAGGAAAATACAAACAAAATGAAAGTACTTATAAAATACTCACCCAATGTCAGGTGGGATAAGCTCCGTCCCCGCTACCCTATTCAGGAATAAGAGGTATTGATAATGGATGGATGGAAGGATACTTATAAAATATATGTACAGTATATATACACAGTTTAGCTGGGGTTTTCAGATGTACACAAAGGTATATTTACAAGGTATTGCACTAAGGGTTGTGCTTACGTTATACAGTCATGGGTTAAGTGTTCATTAGAGTGAGCGTCAAGGCGCTCTTTAACAAGCTTGAGGTGTGCTGCAGTGGTTTATTTGGACAGCATCAGCTCTCTGTGAAACATGATGTCATGTTTCATATCAACATGAAAACTCAAGAACACTGATATGCATCTTTAGGTGAAGTTGTTTGCATTTTGAAACTAGAAGTCGTTACAGGGCTCAGATAAAAGTATGTTTGATCATTAATAATTCCACTGGGTAAACCTTCAGGATGTCATATATTAATATCATTGTTTTCCAACACCTTGTGAACAAAGCTGAACACAAAAAACCGCATTATACTCTGAAGGACATGTTTTTGTGTAATACACATGAGGTGACTTGCTAAGTGAACTCAGCCCCACGCAGTTTCCTTCAGTTTTGACATTCAATGAACTTCTTCTTTCTGTTGAGCTTCAGTAAGATTATTTGTCTCATTTTTCAATCAGCTAATAAATGTTGTGTGTGTGTTGACATGCTCTTTTTTTCCTGACACATCTGAACTGTCTCTGTGTGAATGTACTTAAGCATGTGGTGCCTGTGCTTACCATAATATTAGTTTAGTACAACAGCAGAGTGCCAGTAATAACTGTCAGTATAACTCACCGGTGGGCCCAGTGTTTCTAGATGTGTTTTTATAACCTCTTTTGGATGATGACACCTATCTTTGATGTCTGGCCTGTGATGACACATTTTCCACCCTTCTGCAGTCGGGGCCAGTGATTACACATGAGGACTGAACATCCCTCTGTGAGGGAGGACACAGATGCACATTTATCTTTTGTCCTAGGTGATTTTAATCACATTTAATATCCACTTAAATTTTCAGGCAAATTCATTTTTATACTCTGCCATACATCTTGCACATTTTTGCCATAGAGCTTGTACGTCTTGGACCTCATACAGTCTGGAAAATGAGTATACAGTTTGCAGAGCCGGCCCTTTCTGAAGATAAAATCCAATACTCAAACATTAAACAAATTAGAGATAACATGTAATTTGGTAAGCTTTAGAGGTGCTGGCCGGTAGAGACATTTGGATACCTTCAGACAGGCTACCCCCCCACTGCTGGGTGTAGCTTCATATTTACTGACATACGAGGGTGGTATTGATTGTTACATTTAACTCTCAACAAGAGAAAGCCCACTTCCTAAAATACCACATCACTTAGTTATTTAAACAACCAAGGGGATGCTGTTGTAGTAGGCCCTGTCGTGGCACCCACACTGTTGCCATTATCCTACAATGTGCCGCATCCAGCAGTGACTGTTGTCCACTTGTAGAATCTTAGTGTGGTAGGATTCAGAACCAGTTGTTTATACTGTATAAAAACATGAAGTACTTTTATACAGTATGTGGTGATTTTGCGCAGACAAATATGCAGTTTTGCAGAAGCATCACCAAGTGGAACATCTGTTTTCATTTGTCATATCTGTTTTGCCTGGCTAAATTTTCTGTCTCAATGTTACTCAATGTAACCACACAAAAACTGCTTTTGTTTGTTCGATATTAAAAGTAGGTTTGTGCTGTTTTTATTCTGTGGAGAACAAAGGCATTGGGGAAATGCCTCCGGTTTAATTACGTTGCCTTTTGGAATTTCTGAAGTTGGTTTGCACTTAATTTGCCTTGACATGCTGAGCAGGGCTGATTTTTTGAGACTGAGTTTGGAACACAGTTCCGCTGTGGTGGCCGAGTCCAGAACCCTGCATCAGGAACCACAGGTACTGAAGCACAAACTCGTGCTTCCAGAGTCTGATATCGCCCATTTTCCCATGGCACAGTGAGAATCATTTATCAAGCAGAACCTCTACAATGGGTGGAAAGATGTTTAAATGTTCAAATTCAGACACTTTTCATCTGCAACCAAGTATTCTGCATGTAAATTTTCCTTTTTGAATTGACATTCAGTTGATATTTTTCTTGTCTCATTGTTCCAGGCATAGATAATAACTACTAAATGACATTTTGGAAGATTTTCTATGGCCTGTTCATTGTCAAGCCCACAGAGATTTTACTACAAGCTGTCTTTGATCTGCAAAAACATGACTTTTTCAGGATACACCGGCTCAAGCATTATGGTTGTTGTTTTTCTTATAAATCATACAACATGTGATGACGTTAGTTTGTACAGTGCATGGGTTTTTGGGACAAACTAAACCTAAATTACCGACGTATTAAATCAGAATGAGCCATGGTGCTCTAGAGCCACTGGTTGATTGAACTCATCTTGTGTTTAGAGTAAATGTCACTGCCACTCTTCAGCACAAACAGACCAGCAATGTTGTCACTGCAGTCACCTCGGAGACTGATCCACAGTAGGATGTTTTGAGGAAGTGATTCACTTGTTCCCTTTTGTCTGCCCTATGTCAATCTGACAGTCTGAACCAACAGAGCCTGCGTGTTGTCTGTGTTATTCTCTTATTATCTGCCTCAAGTGAAGTAGTTGTTATAACACCTGGCATTGTATGATTTTTGGTCCCATTTTCTCTCTGCTGCATTATGGTAGGAGCTCTGGCCTAATCAACCTGATGTCACAAAATAATTCTGAGATATTAGCAAGCAATCCCCTATGACGTGGAACCATCAATCTAGCCCAGGGGTTCTCAGCCTTTTGTAACTTAAAGCCCGCTTTTGATTATTAAAACATTTCCAAGGACGATCTTGTCACATAATGTATTCATTGTTGTAATAATGTGTCAGTGTATGTATTAAATGTATCCAGGGTCATATTTCCTCACCAAAGTCTTTGTAGCTTTTACTGGTGCAGGATTATCTCTGATCACTTTTTCATTTCAAAAACATTTTGTGTCACTGCATCTGAGGAAATGTTGGCTGGGCAACTTGTTAACAGCAGTAAGACCCATTTGTCACATGAAGACGTGTCGTGATATTCAGATGTCATTGAATTTATGCATTTTAATTCGAAGTTTGTTTAATTTAGGTGAATTCTTGAGCACATTTGGTGAATGCCTAGCTTTGTAAATGGCATTAATAATAATAATTTTAATCTAACACTTTGCAGTACTACTCTACAACCCACCAGATGGCGCTCTGTGGCCCACTGGTTGAGAATGGCTGGTCTAACTCATGTCCCAGCTGCATACTTTGAATTACATCTGGCTGAAATAACAGAGCAGTTTTTCAGACTATATACATCCAGAATCATTTACAGTTAAAATGGTAACATAACACTAAATGCTATTCAGAGAGCTACTCATGAGTGAAACAGCCCAACCTGTCCATGTGGGGCCCAGTTAGTGTAGGAGTCTAGGGCACTGAATATCACCTCACCTGTAGGAAGTAATGGGAGCTAGTGCGTGAGGTACAGTAAACTGGGCTCTGAAATCAAACCCCTGTATAGCTGCCAGACTGTCCTTGTTTCTGTGCATACCCATTGGCCCCTGGTTGAATGGTGCTTGGATGCAGTTTCCTCCAGAGAACCACAGTGTTGTCTCTGTCTCTCAACAATTCAAGGTATACAGCTTCCTTGGAATGTGTGTGGGCTGTGGTCCTGGAGAGGACGCCGACTAAGCTCTCTGTTGTTCTGCAGGAGGACTTGTTAGTGGGTATTATTACTAAAGCATGGATACTGTAGATATCCACTTCTCACTGGACATAGTTAAAATATTTTGGTGTCTTGTTCTCGAAAGGTGAAGCATGCAACCATCTGGTTGGTGAGGGATTGGCGGTGATAGACCTTTTAGCCACATCTCCTCTGTGTGTGTTTCTACCCTCATACATTGCCATGAATCTGGTTAATGATTGATAGAAAAAGATTGTAGGGACAAGCAGCAAAATGAGGTACCTGTGAAAGGCTTCACCCTCAGGGATAAACATCCATAGAGAGCTCAGAGTGAATAAAGCTGTGCCTTTGCATTGAAAAGGTATGGGTGTTTCAAGCAGCTGAGGAGGGGCCCTTTTGAACAGCTGTCTGTGGCCTAGAGGATGGTGAAAGGCATTATTCTGTCAGTCCCACCTGGCCTTGGATATGATAGTAAAAAAAAAACTTGATATGCTCTTATATTAAGCATCATGACATGTTTATCACTCCGAGATAAAAACATTAAAAATGCCTTGCAGTTTTTCATTTTCATTAAACACATTGACTGTCACTAAACTGTGATTTACAGTCTATTCTGCAAAGCCTATCACTTTTTATTTACAGACCTGGACTTTAAGATGACTAAATGTAAGTGCACATTTGGTAAGTGCACATCTTTCCTTACATGTATATCTGTTTGTGTGTGTGTGTGTGTGTGTTTACTTAATTGCAGTTTGGGACAAAGGGTGGTTAGCGGGCACATTTTTAGTGCAAAAACCTTAAGAGTCATAGTTGCCGCTCAGCTGTATTTCCATAGCACAACCACAGTGAAAAAAAGAAGATGCAAAAGAAATCAGAAGTTGTGTTACAGGAAAAGTGGGTAGCAATATAATGACCTTAACCCTTGACAATAGTGGAAACCAGGCTGCAATTACCCAGCATGGGGGAACCAAAAAGAGTCGGAAAATCCATCAGTCTTGTCGCTTAGTGTTCCATAAGAACATCAGCAAAATCCTGTTCACTCCGCTGCTTAGGGGTTCAAACCACATTTTAAATGCTAACCAAGAAAATGTTATTTTATTACATTACTTCTTGTGGCACAAATTTTAGACTTTAGGTTCTGCTGCTACACATCGAGAAGTTATATCAGCTGAATGTCTACAGGCAATAGCAATTTGTAGATGTTCAGTATCTGAAATACTCTGTGGCATTCAATACTGCTTCTGCATTCAGTCACTAACATCGAGGCTCCATCTTTTATATCACTAATATTCAATATTTTAGCCATTTTTGGAGGCAGTCTTAAATGCAAGAAGCCAAAGCAGCTGTTGAGTTAAATCCCTTCAACATTTTAAGGGAAATGAAGGCAACGAAACGGCTTTAGGTTGTGTGACTTCACTGGTCTGTTCAAGTTGAAGAACAGCAAGAGCAGCAAATGCCAACATTACCTCAACTCTTAACAGTCATTGCCCCATTGGAAATGATTCAGATTTGTCTCCATTGGGCTGGGACTAAAGACGCCCAGAGACTAAGTGCTGCCTCTCCCCTCAGTGCTCGGCTTGTTTCAGCACATAATCAGTGCAGTAGCCAGTGGTCCTCTGGGGACATGCTGAGCAGTTTGACGGCATGGGAGGGATTGACTCTGATGTTCCCCTAAGCCTGCTCATCAGGTATTCTTATGTAATTGCAGATGGAAATAGGGTGTGTCAGAAGACTGTGGCTGTAGTATGTGTGTTCATTCCGGTTGCAACAGGAGGGTCCCACGCCCTGTCAGAATTTGGCAAATGGATGGTCCTTTACATCACTATGTTACAATGAGACATTTAAGTTGTAATATGCAAATATATTTTTATATGGCATTTGTATGATGTCAATTTTAGGTGCACATTTGATAGCAATGAGTTTAAAATGTGCAGGTATTATCAGACAAGGTTATCCATAAAAAAAGTGTGTTCCTCGTTTGTCCAGCAGATGGTGCTATTTAAAACAAGTGGCTGCCTCTGTGTTTGTACTCGGGGGCCACCCTCAAACCTTCATTGCTTCATGCCCCTGGGGTCCTTACAACAGTGGTGCTTGATGAAGCTTTAATGCTAATGTCTTTGTCATATAAACACATTTTTGGTTCAGGGAATGAGGCAGTCGCTGAGTGATTTAATTGCAGGGGCGCCTGTGAGTGAGAGTCTTGTTTGCCTGTGTGTCTGAGAGCTATAGTTTTTACAGGTTTGTGCTGTGATGGCTGGAACGCCACAGTTTATTTCTCACAATAAACACCATCCTTCTGTTCTCTAAGAATGAGTGATTGTGAAACTTGCTACTCTGCATATTGATACACTGTAAAGGAATGCCTCGCATGCAGATGCCATTACATAACCAGGTTAGCTGCATTGTGTTAAGAAGACAAATGACTGTCTGATTGCATGACACTTTCCAAACAATGAAGGGCAGAGATGGAAATTTTCTTCTTCAGGAAGAAACAAGAAAGGGAAGAGCAAAAACAGAGCTCCCTGTTTTGACTGTAAATCCCAGCTGCTAGGGGCAGCCACACATCTGTGTGATTAGGTAAACCTCAGCAGCCTTTCATCTGAGCAATCTGTAAAACCTCAGTGGCACACACTGTGTGGTGTGCTGCTCAATCAAAGGCAACATATTCCGCTGAACCTCTTATTAAATACACTTGATTAAGGCTTATTTTCAGCAGCTATACAGGAAACGTGTGAAGAAGTGCCTTGTAGTGTGAGATGGACAAGTTTTTATGGCTCTTTGCAAGAAGGTCAAATGCCTTCTGTGGGTGCAAGTGAGTGCTTGGGAGTGTTTGTGTATATTTGGGGAATCTTCTAAGCTAAAGTGAACATGTTGCTCTGAAATATTTTCCAACATCTGCCGCCCATCAGGATGTCTGCTTTCTGAGCCACTGCTGCATTCCTGAGCCGCTCCCTCTACCTGGATCAAGAAGCCGTTCCCTGTCGTTGCTCCTGACCTGTGCGCTCCCTGCCCCTGTCCAGGCTGTACTGTAGGTATTTATACCAGGTGCAAACATCTGCCACCAGACCCCGTGTCTCAATAATAATAATAGTGTGTCCTTCACAGACTTCAACTTCATATTGCTTGGGTTTTAAGCACTTTGGGGTAATAAAACAAGTACAGGACCAATCTGAGCTCAGGTAAACACAAATAATGAAAAGACCAGAGAAGAAGTCAAATGGTAGCAACACACTGTTTCAGCTGCTGGAAACTGACTTTGAAGCTGACCACAGAAACAAATACACCACCCCTGTTTCCTGTCCTTCCCTGTTTCATCCTTCACAGTAGTACTTCTTAATGCATGTTACATTGAAACCCGGAGGGGATACTTAAGCTGTCTTTACTCTGCAGGGCTGTTTACAACTGTTGAGCAGACTCCTGCAGTTTAAGAGCCAGCAGAGACCAATGCAACCGATTCATTTTTAAAGGCAACTGCTAATGAATTCAGTCAATTTGGTAGTGCTGGTCCACTGTGTGGAAAAAAAGGTTCGCTCAGGAAAGCGTGCTTTGTATACACCCTATTGTATGTAATAATAGTCATTGTCCTTGTTGCATGGTGTCTAATCCCAGCCCATTCACTGCAGCACTTAAGATTCTTGGCATACTCCCATACGCATTGCTACTCGTGGACTTAATCTTTTTTCTCGCCCCCCTCTCAGAATCAGTCAAGTGTATGGTTTAGCCAGATAAAATGAAAGCAAGCTAGCTCGTCGCAGAATGGCATTCCAAAGCACACAAAGTCAGGAGAGACGGCCTCCAAGGTTGTGTTATATAAGACCGGAGTGACCCTTGTGTTATATAAGACCGGAGTGAGGCTTCGTGTACATGAGAATCTGTTGGGTCTACCAAGTGATAAAACAGGAGGATTTTCTTTGGGAGTAGTGACTTTAAATATCTCCCCCCACCTCTGTGCATGGGAGAGTTGTTTGTTTGTTCTCTCCTGTAGTGCAGTTTGGACAGACTGAACTTGTGACACAATGTCGTGTTTTATAAATAAATCAGTTTTATTTGTAGCATATAAAATTAAATCATTTTACAATTTATTCCAGTATGACAAATAATATCCAAATAAAGTAGCTACACTTTAAAAAATAACGATAAATAATATAACAATAATAAAAACATTCATTCATCCTTTGACATGTTTTGCCTTGTCTTTTTCATGAAGGGAGTTCGATAGCTGCCAGAAAACATGAACAATAATGCCCACGTCAGGAAGGAATGAAACTGCACACTTGTCAAACAAGCCAAGAGGTTACATTTCAATTCTGGGGTTTTGTTCTTCAGATACAAGATGGGATGCTAATCAGAGTTGCACATGTGCATATCTACATATAGACATACAGGTCTAGAGTCTGGGACATGTCTGATGTGAAGGATCAAAATATACACAGTGAATTGATATCAACAACTAACAAATGTACAAATATTAATTACATCTTGCTCCATAACGAAGCTACTTCGGATGCTCCATTAATATGAAGCAGTTCTTTTTAAGAATGCTGATGTGGTCACAGCAAACAGTGCACTTCATTAAGTCCTCATGATGTAAGCTTACAATTCCTTTGGAATCTAGTTACAGCATGGTGGTGGATTGAAACCCCTGCGTTCATCTGGGCCGCCCCTGGCTGCCAGAGATGCTGATGATCACTGTCCGTCGAGTGGAAGTTTGGGCGTTCTTCCCCGATCAGTCTCTGAACTTGTGGATGTCGTTGGAGAGGCGGTAGAAGGGGTAGGAGGCTTCGTGTACATGGGGACAGTTGTAGGTGCACTTGCAGGACTCAATCATCATCATGTTCTTGTTGAAGGTCTCGCCGTCTTCGCAGCGGAACTTAACACGGATGGTTCTGGTGTTTTGAGGGCTGCAGCAGCGCCCGTCCACGCAGGCTCCGCAGTACCTGGGCCTGTACTTCTTCAGGCTTGAGCAGCCAGCGTAAGTGAACTTCACTGGCTGAATGGACCTTTTGGTTCTGCTGCACTTTTTCCCTTTCTGAAGAAGAAGAATAAACAAGGAGATGGAGATTAGTTTTACACTCAGACCCAGTGGGGTATTTTGACTCTTATGCATACATAAGCCATGGGGGCTCAGGCTTACCCTCAGACTGGAGTAAGGTGACTGGGTGCATGGCCGAACTTCACAGATCCTTGTCTCTTTGACCAGCTTGCACTCGCTGTTGTTGTTGGTGACTCTGGTGGAGATGCCAATTCCACAGCTCTTGGAGCACTGGGACCAGGGTGTGGTTTGGATGATGCACTTCTGGCTGTCAAACATGTGGACTTCTGGCTCTGGTCTGAATGCTGTGAGCAAAGAAAAAAATAAAAGTATAATCAACTTGTTATCACATGTTTTAAGATCTTCCATATTTGTATTCAGAGAAAAAGATTCCTGGGTGAAAGACTGATTCTTACCAGGTAGAGACTTGAGTCCTCCCTTGACCATTGTAATGAGCTCGTTCCTGTTGGTGAGGTCTCTTTCCAGTTCATCAGTCATTGTGTCTTTTCCAAAGATTCTCTCCAGGATGTCTGTCTCTTTGCCATCATCACACACCCACTCCTCACAGCACTGGCCCGCCACCTTGACCAGTCTGGGATTGGCACAGCCCAGGTTGGGCAAGGAGAGCTCCTGTGGGCACAGCGGGACACATCCCACTGCACCGTCGATGCATGTGCACTGGTGTTTACAGTTGGGCTGGAAGCTCTCTCCATTCTGGTAGATCCTGCTGTTGTACTCACAGGGTCTGCCCTCTGACTTGGCTGCAGCGGGAGAAAAAAAAACAGGGGGAAAGGAATGTTATTCTTTCCTGCTCAGAGATGTCTGCTGAAGACATCACATGGCTGCCAGATAAGGATCAGTTAAACTGTGAAATTCTTCAGTCTGCTTTGAGGTTTAGACTAAAGTATCCTCCTAGCTACATTCCATGGTGTTGAACTCACACAGGTTCCCATACTCTCGAAATAAACCCTCTTATTTAAAATAATTCAAAGCCATGCACCAGCTTTATACATACCTCGGCAGATGCCACGAGTAGTAGCAGCAGCAAAGCTGGCCCCAAAGTTACACTCCAGCCCTTTAGTGTGGTCGCAGGGCTCGGTCAGGCTACAGTCCTCATTCAGCTGTCTGGCGCAAACTTTGCAGCAGCCGCAGCCGTCCAGGACGACGCTCACGCCTGGTGCACACTTGGGCATCTCCAGTGGACACTCACACACGGAGGAGCAAGAGGAAGAGGAGAGGACCTGTACAGCCAACAAGAAAACCTGTTAAAAACTGAACTATTTTAAGTCATGCCCCACAGAATATCTCAGAACCATAGAAAATCCCTTACTATTTATTTTCGTTAAAATAACTAATTCTTTTCCTTTCTTTACGCTAAGTGGCCTACAAAACTTCATAACAGCTAAAACGCGTCCACTTCTGGACTCACCATGTTAAGGCTTCCAAGGAAGGCAAAGACAACAGTAAACATCAGCATCTTGGATGATATTCTTGTGCGCGTTCAAGATGAATCCTGTTCCCACTTTTGTGAAAAGTCGATATAGTCTGTCTTCGGAGCAGTCCTAGACCGTAGGTATTTCCTCTTTCAGTCGTCTGGATCTCTTGTTTTATGGTAGTCTGTAGCGTTAGAGGCTCCTTGGAGTGGATGACGGTCTCGGTAAACCCCTTGCAGTCTGCTGAGGTCCGGCCACCTCCGGTCTTTTATATCGTAGTGGGAAGCTGACGTCGCTCCTGGGCTGTCTGCTGAACTGTTCCCAAACTATGTTAGGAATGTTTCTCGGTGCATTTTCCATCCAAGACCTAAGCTCCACCCTGTCTTGAACCTTTTTTTTTTCTCTTTCTCAAATGGACTCCCCCGCCCCCCCATCCCATCTGAACACACTTTACTGTCTCACATTTTCCTCTTTTTGTTTACCCACCTTTCATTCTCTTCTTCTGCTTGCCTCTCACATCTGAATATCATACCAAATCAAGTTCAGTGGACTTTTTTTGTCGGAGTGAAGTTTTTGTGCTTAATTCTAACCTTTTTGTTTGTGATTAGATCATTTGTGGGCGATTTTTTTCTTCTTTTCACTTTGTTCACAAATAAATGAGTTAATAAGTAGCCTAACAAGTACACAGTTTATTATTTTATTATTTCCTGGTTTCAATGCACCTGTTGACGGGTTCTGTACGTTTCAAAACGTTATTCTCTGATTTCAAATATCAGAAAAAGATGCCACAAAACATCCTAAAGTAACATCCCAGTCTATGAAAGCACGCCAAAAGGTATTTTTGGCTTATATAAATAATTGCATTGTCACATATATGTTGTCCCCCTCATACAAATATCGGAATACTGGCGTTTTCTGAATTAGAACTGCTTTGGCTGATTAAAGCCATTTTCTAAAAACACCTTTGTAGCGACTTGAAGTGGCTGCGTTTAAAATAGCTGCGGGATCTTCTCTGGGAGTCAAAGGTGTTGGCAGAAATAAGTTTTACAGCGTCTATTTCTGGCTCTCCGGTGTCTTTATTCAGAGAAGCTAAGCATTTCCAGATGCGCTCCAGAGCTTACACGGAACAATATTGCCATATTTGGTAGGGTAGCAGCCTACATTATTAACATATTTCTCTTCCTTCGGCCAGCAGACCACAAAGCATTCCTGACAGCATCACGGCTTGTTAAATATGTTCTTCATGCAGAGAAATTCCTTTGCATTCTTTCCTTGGGGCAATTTGACTTTTCACGCAATCTGTCCATCACGTTTCGGTGGGGGAAAAGTGGGTCCCATTGAAGGTACAGTGATCCAATTTTCCACAAGAGATGTTGTGGTGTTGGTTGGGCTTTGTCTAGGTTTTACATCAGGGGTCTCCATAAGTCCCCTCCACCGAAGTTTTCAAATGATTTCAACTGATGAAAATATCCACCAGTGCGAAACGAAATGCGTAAAGGCGCATTATAACCCGCTAATGTTGCCATATCCCATAGAGGGCATTTTGCATGAGATCAGTGTGTTTGTGTTTATAAGGATCGGAAATTTCACTACCTCTCTCTCCCCTGCAATCTCTTGTGTAGACTTAACATAACGATACACTGAGACAGCAGCGCTGAACAAGACGGCTGAAGAGCCTCTCTGGTGAGTTTGGATTTCTTTTGTTGTTGTAGCGCAGCCGATTGCTCATGGATCAATTTTTGCAAAACCCCGAATCATCCCCATATCCAGATATAAGTAGCCTATATAAATCACAGCATGTCAAAGTACTTCTTTTAAAAAGAGAATATTTAATCAAAAATAGCTCATGATAGTGGTTTCTTCGGGTGTCTGGTTGAAAGTGAACAGTGAAGCGTTTTAGAAACTTAAGGTTTCTCACACTGACTGTTTGGGCTTTGGTTTTGATGTTGTGGGCACATATTCATACGTTCGTTAAACTCGGTGGTGATGTGAAAACGACAAACTTGTGGTGATGTTGTTATACCAAGATTGACCAGTATCCAAACGCCCGTAATCACTTTCCTCTTCAGAAGCAACAGGTCATATTTATACGATTACGTTGTCCATGAATATAGCCTGGTGCTCGTGCCTGTGAGAGCAGCCTATTTGGACAGGGGGTGTGTCTGAGCACATGTGCAGCTCTCCCCTGTGTGGGTTTCCAAGCAGTATGATGCAGTTGGCCGTTTGCCAATATGTGTGAAGTGTAATATCTTAAAGAGGAACTCCAGTGAATTTACAAATCAAGATCAGTTTACTCATCAAGGTCAGTATTGGCAAGCCTGAGAAAATAGCTTTAAATACCTTCTAAGGCTCTGGAGGGAGCTTAGCAACGTTTGAAATAATCCTGATAATGTCAGCACCTCGGTTTGGGCCCGGAGACTACATATTAACAGAAAACGCGCCTTAGACACTGGAGGGATTGGTCATGCTAGGCAGGAATGGTAATTGTCAAAAATATGGTAATAGTTGCATTATGGGAAGTGTAGGAACCAGTGTTTTTGGAACTTGGACCACACAAGGAACTAAGTCTGCAGCCTGTGCTGCAAAATGTCTCTTTGGTTTGATTGTCCCCTGTGTTGACCTAATGGTCCTATCTGTATATTGTTTTTGCCCCTCATGTATTAGCATACATTTGGGTCACAGATGTAACCATCGGTTTCATGAAAAACTAATTTACCATCAATATTTAAAAAACCCAGAAAGCCTCATAAAACCACTTACTGTTATTCTGGCAATATACAGTATGTACATATATATTTTCAGAATCCCTGACCATCTGGATAAAAAGATATGTTGTCTGTTGTACAGTGAAAAATATGTTTGGGTCTGTTTCCCAAGTTGAATCTCTGTTCCCTTCCCTGATAATCAGTGGCTGCTATCTTTGTTGTGGTTCTGAAACAGATTTGAAACCTGGGAAACAAGTTAAAAATCTTTAACATTCAATAATGTATAGGGACACAAACAAGGCCTAATGTTATATTTCAGCCTGTGTGTGTGTGTGTGTGTGTTTGTATGGCAGAATGTGTGCATGTGTTTGTGCTTGATGGCAGTAGGAAACAGTGTTGTCATTGTACGTCAGTGGAGACTAACAGGCAGTAATCTTCCTTCCGTAATTACCCATTCAGTTGAGGAAACATTCCAAAACCTGGACATGTCTCCATGTTGTGATTGCCGTGGCATAATAGTTTCCACCAGGCCTGACTTAGAACCCCCATCCCATGCAGCACACACACCTTTTTGGTCCCCAGAATTGAGGATGGGGTCTCATTTGCAGTGTATTTGATTATTCTCACAGCTCTGGAGCCAACATGTTTCAGTGGTTTCACTGTCGAGCTAAAGTTTGAGAAACTGTGTTGTGTTGTGGCTCAGTGTAATGGAAACCTATTGCCAGATCCCACCAGGCGCACTTACAGTTGAAGAGACAGTGGCCCTCAGAATTGGCTCTCAGAAAGTCTGTGGTGAGAATTTATGTCTAAGTGACAGATGGAACAGAACAGAACCGTCCAGCATGTTTAAACAACAGATTCCACTGTAGCATATTCAAGATCAGTGTCATAACTGGTATGCGGTGTGAATGAGCAACACTTCCTTTCTCTCTCAGCTCGCAGAGCAGCAGGAAGTTGCTTGAGTTATGGGGCGTTCTCGTGTGAACGGGGGCAGAGATGAGCCCAGCAAATTACAATCCTCAGGTTCTGAAGTTTGGACACACTTTTCCATTGAATTCTGAATGTAACTTAATGTTTCTTTCCATATATTCTACATCTTGTGCAAAAAAGTCATCACTTGTCTTTTATATATCTCCCATTTATTTCTGGCATCCTTTCACTGAGGGCCTGTTCAGCAAAATTGTGGCTGGTGCTGAGCCACAGTACAATGCAGCTGACACAGTTACAGATAAACTGCATCATGATGGCAGCTTCTTGTGCAGCCAAATGTCTTGTCCATAATTTATAAGGTGATGCTAACCAACATCTGCTGCGAGACATCATGAAGGTGCAACAGTACAGTGTAAACAAATAAACTGGGGTGTGGGTGGCAACAAGAGATTTTAACACATAACCTCCAGTCTTCTTTCTAAAACATTATCTGTTGTGATGGGGAATTGTGAAAAACACACATTTTACCTCAGTGGCCATTTCTAAACACCTGGGAGTTATTTTCCCCTTTAGACTAATCAGTGTCTGCTATGTAAACAGATAATGGTGGATAACTGTGGGTAGCTTATTTTTCACACTTATGTTAACGTGAGGTGGGCAGCACGGTGGGGCAGTGGTTAGTGCCGTTGCCTCACAGCGAGAAGGTTCCGGGTTCAGGCCCCACCTGGGACCCTTTCTGTGTGGAGTTTGCATGTTCTCCCCGTGCTTGCGTGGGTTCTCTCTGGATACTCCGGCTTCCTCCCACAGTCCAAAGACATGCAGCTTAGGTTGATTGGTGTCTCTAAATTACCCATAGGAGTGCATGTGTGCGTGTGTGGGGTTGTTCGTCTATGTGTTAGCCCTGCGATGGATTGGCGACCTGTCCAGGGTGTACCCCGCCTTCACCCGATTGCCGGCCGGGATTGGCTCCGCTCCCGTGACCCCGTTCAGGGACTAAACGGTAGAAAATGAATGAATGAATGTTAACGTGAGGACAACAAGACAAAAAAACAGCAATGTGTGTTTGAGACCTGGTGCAAGGAGTTGAACACACCTGTCTTTCTTTTTGGGGTGTAAATAGCTAATCAAATAGTTTTGATTTGATTTTGATTTGATTTTATTCTTTCAAGCATGATATGTCAACACACATAATTTTACACATATCCAACAAATGCTAATCCAATATCAATTTGCTTATACCTAGTACATGCTTGAATTGAGTAGGAAGAAGTCAGACTTACCAAGTCCTACCCCATGATATCATCTTACCATCATTGGTTTGCAAGCAGTATCTCTACATAGATAATTCTCTTTTACACCACACAAGTAATATACTAAAGAATTATAACAGAGTGTTAACATTCGTACATAATTACATTCTTAAATACTTATCTTCTACACCACACAAGTAATATACTAAAGAATTATTACAGTGTTAACATTCATACACCACACCCACAATGTTCCATCTAATTAATCATTAAGCCTGTTCTTGCATATATCTTGATTGACACATACCTTTATATTTATGTTTAAACT